AATTTATTATTCATTTTGGTAAAATTTATTATTATAAAATTGAAATTTTAATTTTTAAAACTTATTAGAAATTTATAGTTTTATTTTATTATTAATTATATTTATTTTTCTTCTTTTTACTTTTTTATGAAGCAACAAATTTTCAAATTGTAAAAATATTATAAACTACTATACGAAAATAAAATCAACTCAAAAATGAGGGAAAAAACTTTAAAATAAACGCATTTTTTAGAAGGAAAAATTATAATAAAGAAATCTCATTTTAATAAAGTTCGTTGCATGATCAAGTCACTTGAACTGCATGGATACTATACATACATATGTGTAAATTATCAAAGTTTCTGCTTTTACGAAAAGTAAATCAATCATATAATATTATTTCATACCTTCACATTAAAACGTCTATCAATTTTCGCGCATCTGCGGGCTGTCAGTTGCCTGAAACCGTCGAACTATCATGAATAATTAGCGGTTTTCACCGTGTCATTTATTGAATTTCGTTTGGAGCACTTTGAACGACACAGCTGAACATACACAGAGATGTGCATCAATTTTGGATTGTTATATATTGTGCTTACATTTACGTTTTGTTTCTTAGTGTTTCCTTTGGTTTTACGGGTGATTTGGGATATTGATACACCGAAACGTGTCTGCACTTTCTCGAATTCAAGCGGAACGGTAAATTGGCGAATGGCATATGCTCAATTTTCGTTTTTGTTATTTAAATTTAGACTTTTTATCACTTCTACGTTTCGCACAGACAACACAGCCGGAAGTTGACTTCAACGGTTGAATTTCCCGCTATGCGAAAGATTGTCGCTTCCGCCTACTTGGCAGCTGCTGAACTATTCACGGCAAGCGAACGCAGACGACTTGTTGGCGCGCTCAAACTCGTCGACATTTTGACTGTGGATGTGGCCGTGGCGGTCGCTGTGGCCGACAATAAGCATTCGGCACACAGTTAAACCAAAGATTGGCAGCAGGCGGTGCTGCGTTGGGTAAACAGTTGTGTTTCTGCCAAATGCCGGCTTTTGAAAGCGCCTGCGCAAGTATTTATTACATATTTAAGTTAACTATATTATATTTAACGCCCAAAGTGTTGAGATTCTCTCTGCCTATTGCTTATTTTTCACTTTCGTTTACAGTTATATTTGTGATGGCAAACATTTTAAATTTGCAAACAAATAGATTCAATGTGACACTGTTAGGCTCAGATGGTACTGTTTATTTTAAATTTAATGAAAAGTGGCGCCTGCCCATATCATAATTTCTTGATAAATACAGTTTTATTTATGTACCTCACATTTCATTTTTAAGGCACTCATAATTATCCTCTTGAAATTCTTTCTGTAATATTTATTTTATTCTAAGTAAAATAAACATTAATATTTATTTATCATCAAAAATTATAAATTCTGTTAACATAAATATTCAAAAGTAACAGTGTTGAATAATATGAAAAACATCGTGAAACCACATCGATTCATACGTATCACTTATCGATAACAGAAAACTTTTATTATTCCTCTTTTCTTTGATGTCTTGTGAACGACATCGTTTTGCTGTAATAAATGTAAGTTTTTATGAAATACAACGTATATTGTTACATTAAGCAAGTTGAGGATTATCAAGCCGATGGATTGTCAAGTATTGCAATTCGCGTTCATTGAATTATATTTGTAATTATGTGCAAAAAGTGACTGTCAATGTTTGGCAAACGCCATGTTGGCCGCTCAAACCTAACCTCAACCGCTCTATGACACCTAAGTCAATGGCAGTTAAAAATTGTACTAATATTAATTTGTCTTTTTTGTTGCAGAACACGGCATAAGCAGAATTAAACACCATGTCACGTTTCTTTGCCAACGGCTCCGACTCGGAATCTGAATCCAGCGAAGAGGAAGTTCAAGCATCCAACTTCAATAAAGCGGCCAATTTCGTAAGTAGAATCAATATTTAATATAGAATATTTGAATAACAAATATATTCTCTGCTGCAGCAATTTAGCGATGACGAGGAGGAAGTTAAGCGTGTCGTGCGCTCCACCAAGGAAAAGCGCTATGAGAACCTAACAAGCATCATTAAAACGATACGCAACCACAAGAAAATTAAGGATATTCCCAATACGCTGAGCAGTTTTGAGGATTTAACGCGAGCCTACACGAAGGCCCTGCCCGTCATCTCTAAGGAGGAGAATGGCATTACGCCCCGCTTCTATATTCGTTGCCTGGCCGAGCTCGAAGATTTCATCAATGAGGTGTGGGAGGATCGGGAAGGACGCAAGAATCTCTCGAAAAACAATGCCAAATCGTTGGGCACATTGCGCCAAAAGGTGCGAAAGTATATCAAAGATTTTGAGGAGGACCTGGCACGTTTCCGTGAAGCGCCCGATCAAGAGAGTGACGTTGAGGAGGGTGAGGGTGAACCGCATGACAGCGACGCCGACCGTGCTGGCGCTGACAGCGACGATGGCGTTGGCGCCGGAACCGGCAAACTAGCTGAATTGCCGAAGGCTGCTAAATCGGCGCCAACTAAAGTGGTTGCTGATGAGGACGATTCGGATGATTCGATCGATTGGGATTCCGATACCGAATCGGAGACCGAATCGTCAGAGGATGAGAATCTATACCAGAATATGCGTGAGCGTTTCCTTAAGCGTACCACCGAGAAGGAGGACAAGGATGATGACAAACGCAAGGACAAGCGCAAGGAGCAGAAGCACAAGGTGCGCAAGCGTGCCGAAGACGACGAGGATGGTGAATGGGAGACGGTCGTCAAGGGCAATGTCGTTGAGAAGCCCAAGATGTTCGAAAAGGATGCCGAAATCGACATTCCTCTCGTGCTGGCCAAACTGATTGAGATAATGTCGGCGCGCGGCAAGAAGCGCACCGATCGCCGTTTGCAAATTGATTTGCTGTTTGAACTGCGAGACATCGCGGAGCAGCATGCTCTGGGCACGCCAATTAGTGTGAAGATTCATTTCAACATCATTTCGGCCATCTTCGACTACAATCAAAAGATTTCGGAGCCCATGAAGCTGGAGCACTGGGCCCTGCTGCTCGAGGTGATGCAGAGCATGATGAAGCTGCTGCTCGCAAATCCGGACATCATCATGAACGAGAGCGTGGCCGAGGAGCACGAGGAATATGTAACAGCGCCGTTTTATATACGCGGTTGCCCTTTGGCTGCCGTGGAGCGTCTCGATGATGAGTTCACCAAGCTGCTGAAGGAGTGCGATCCGCACTCGAACGACTACGTGTCCCGGCTTAAAGACGAGATCAATGTGGTAAAGACCATTGAGCTGGTCGTTCAATACTTTGAGCGTTGTGGCAACAATAACGAACGTTGTCGCATTTATCTGCGCAAGATCGAGCATCTTTACTACAAGTTCGATCCCGATGTGCTCAAACGCAAACGGGGCGAGCTACCGGCAACGGGCACCGCACCATCATCCGTTGAAGTGATGGACAAACTGTGCAAGTTCATCTATGCCAAGGATGATACAGATCGCATAAGGACGCGTGCGATATTAGCGCACATCTATCATCATGCGATGCACGATAATTGGTTCCAGGCGCGTGATTTGGTTTTGATGTCGCACTTGCAGGACAACATCGATGCTGCAGATCCGTCGACGCGCATCTTGTACAATCGCATGATGGCCAATCTGGGCCTGTGCGCCTTCCGTCAGGAGAACATCAAGGATGCGCATCATTGCCTGGTCGATCTGATGGTCACCGGCAAGCCTAAGGAATTACTCGCCCAGGGACTGTTGCCTCAGCGACAGCATGAACGTTCCGCCGAGCAGGAGAAGATCGAAAAACAGCGCCAGATGCCATTCCATATGCACATCAATCTGGAACTGCTCGAGTGCGTCTATCTGGTATCGGCTATGCTCCTTGAGATACCTTACATTGCTGCCCACGAGTTTGATGCACGTCGTCGCATGATCAGCAAAACGTTTTACCAACAATTGCGCTCCTCGGAACGCCAATCCCTGGTGGGTCCACCGGAATCGATGCGTGAACATGTCGTCGCCGCCGCCAAGGCCATGCGCTGTGGCAACTGGCAGGCCTGTGCCAACTTCATTGTGAACAAGAAAATGAACACCAAGGTCTGGGATCTGTTCTATGAGTCGGAGCGTGTCCGTGAAATGCTTGTCAAGTTCATCAAGGAGGAGTCGCTGCGCACCTATCTGTTCACGTACTCCAATGTTTACACCTCAATTAGCATACCGTCACTGGCGCAAATGTATGAACTGCCCCTGCCGAAGGTGCATTCGATCATCAGCAAGATGATCATCAACGAGGAGCTGATGGCCAGCTTGGACGATCCCAGCGAGACGGTGGTGATGCATCGTTCGGAGCCATCGCGCCTGCAAGCGCTGGCCATGCAGTTCGTTGATAAGGTTACCAATCTGGTCGATGTGAACGAGAAGGTGTTCGACATGAAGCAGGGCAACTTCTTCCAGCGTGGCAACATGGGTAATCGCGATCGTGGCTACAATCGCAACCAGAACAACCAAGGCGGCAATTGGGGCGGCCAGCGTCGCGACAATCGCAATCAGCGCAACCGGAACCAGCGTGGACACCACAAACAACAACAGCAGCAACAGCAACAACAAGTGCAGACCATCGAAGAGGAGTAGACACACCAAGTAGAAAAAGAAGCCTTTAAACAAATCCATGGATCATATACTGAGACTAGGGAAATGGAACTGTGCTGACTGTGGTCGGACCTCCGATTTGGTTGAAACGCCAAATCGGAGGTCTACGTTTAAATTAGCATCAAACCAATCACTGTATCCATTTTGTCCTTATCAATTATACTGTACTGTGAATTTGTTATAACGCTCATTATGCCTAAAACCTAATTGATAAATGCATTTTGTATGAACTAAAATCTAAAGTGCGCAAGTCTTTGATTCAAATAAACTAAACAAAACGGAAGGAAAAAAAGAACAAAAATCGAGCCATTTTATATTTAATAAAATCAGAGAAGACTTTGCCTTGTACATTTTTCTGGTAATTAAATTTGAATAGGCGCGCTAACTGAAGTCTTTACTTGTTATCATCAAACTTATTGAGCTTTCGGCGGTCAGCGTACCATGCGCTATCAATGGTAGAATATCGCTTTCAAATACAGAAATATGTATATCGATATGTAATCGGCAAGGTTTCTGCAGTGGACGCACGTTTTATTGGAACTATTATTTAACAAGTGAAAATTATCAATTAAAACTTGAATACACTACAGCATGAACAGCATAGGCGACGATTGCAATGAGTTAAAAAAGCAGTACGATGCCTGTTTCAATAACTGGTTTTCCGAACGATTTTTAAAAGGAGAAACCGATGATTCCGTATGTGCACCAATTTTCAAGGTTTATCAGGAGTGCGTGAAGGTGAGTGTTGAATGAATAAATACCCCTTGTGGGCAGGCACATGCAGATAACATCATACCACCCACCTACGCAGCGAGCCATGCGTGAGCAGAAAATTGAATTACGTGAAATCGAAACGGATTACACCACGGCCAGTGAATTCGACAACAACAACAGTGCAACCGGCAGCGGCAAGCCGCAGGGGAGTCAAAATAAAAGTTGACCTCTGTCGCTTGATTTACAGCCCCATCATGCTGAGACGGCCAATACGGATAAGGAGTGTAATGCAATAAGTAGCCAGTCGACGCCTCACGGACGTAGAGATGCATTTACTGGGAAGCATAAACGCAGTTCCACAGTCTAAAAGTATATAATGATGCTCGTAGCAATAATTGTGCTTAAAATTGATGCATGATATAAATTAATCGTTAAAATTATGTTAAGTTTAAACCATGCTAGATTTATTAAGTGACCATTACGGTTAAAGTTTGTAAATATATATTGTATGTATGTCTTTATAAAACGTTTTTAACAATAAATAATTGTATCATATTCAATAATTTAAACTTCCCGATATTAATGCTGTGACGTCAGACATGTAGCTATCGCTAAAACCGAGAGTAACGGGATTTATTTACGTAACCTAAAGAATCATTAATAGTAGAACCTTATTGTTCTTATTAGCCATGTCAACACATTTACAGCAACACATGTTGGCATGTAAACACACACACTTCTTTTCAATGGGCTGAGATTCATTACGAATTCGAATAATTATTACCCACAGGTCAAGGCCTCAAAGTCAAGTTCACTCAGCCTACAAATATGAAGTCCATTTGCATAATGGATTAACCTATTTTTTAATATTATAAATTAAATAAAAGTCATTGGTTGAAACGTGTTGTATTTTGCTCAATTAAAAGCTGAAGAATATGCTCAAAAAGTTAATTTGCATATGCTTATAATTGATTTATCAAAAAACAATCCTGTGTTTTGCGTTTAACAATCTTTTGGCTTAAAATCTAGTATTAGAATCGACAGTATACGACTAAAAACACGAATAATGTAAAATGTTCTTAGCTCGGGAGACTATCGAATTATGCATGTATGTTGGTGAAAACTTAAAAAACTACACAACTTTTCGTCTTAAATTTAGAAATGAACATTCAATAATTATTTGCCAGCCGTGAACTTGGAAAGTTTCTCCAGCAACCCAATATAAGAGGTGTGCTCGTGAGCGGTGGCTAGGTCGGAGAGTTTCTCGGCAAATTCATTGCTAATTCCTTTCTCTTCCAGAATGTTCATCAACAAATCATACAAATAGCCATCGAGCACATCTCCAGCAACTGCATACACTTTGTCGTTCCATTCGCCTTCAAAGATCGACATTTCATCGATAGAAAATACATCGTTATATTCACCCTCCTGTGCCTCGCCTTCCAAGTAGGAGCAAGTAAAGGATAGGGTAGTGTTGCCCTTAATGATGTCCACTTCAAACTGTGGCTTGCTACGCATTTCACCCAATTCTGGTTTGTCGGCATTGGGATTAATTTCTGGTTCCTGTTCGCTGTCAACAGTGTGGTTCACATTGAAGCTAATGACGACCTTTTCCTTGTCGGTTTCCTTGGTCAGCTCGACATCGGCGCCACTGAGTTTCACGCTGAAGCCTTCCAGTGTGCTGGGCACAGTCTTGCCCTTTTGCACCTTGCGCTCAGCAATAATCTCCTCGGTAAGGAACTCGACCAGTTCACGTTCACCTGTGGATATAGACAAACTGTTGATTTAACTTCAATTTCAAAATATCTTTTTGGATGTCGTTAGCTGCACGTTTGTGAGGTTATGTAACCATGGAGAAACATGCGCCAATTTGTTATGAACACGGGACATGCTTTCTTTAATGAAATGCTCACCTTTAGTGTGCACATTGCAGCCACAAGTGCAATTGATGCTGGGCTTATGCACATTTAACACAGTAACGTGGTCACCACCCACCGCCGGCTTTTTGGTCATGTGCCACAGGCTGCGGGTAAAATCGCGTTTGCCCAATGCACCAGCTGTTGCGGTGGCCAAATTGGCAAATCGCAATGTTGCTGTCTTCAAGCTGTTCATCTTGTTATATAAGATATCAATTTATTATGATAATAATTGGAAAAATGTGCTGCCGCTTCCGTGTTGCAACTTGCAATGGTCTTACATATGCCGATAGCGATATACTTTAATAATAAATCGATATACAATTTACATAAAATATGGTTTTTCTTTTTAAATGAGGTGGCAACGCCGTGCTAGTAGTTGGTACGTTCGATCAAATGGATGAAAACATCAATGAAAAGCTGCTTCTTCAAGTTGAGGAAGATGACACAGATCAGCATCCCTGTTGCCCGCATGGACCCACAGTGCTCTTTTATCGCCAAAGTCAACAACCCAGCTATGGTTTCTATGCCTGTTCCGCATACCGTAATCCTAAGCTTTGCTCCTTTCGCATGGATTACGAAAAATGGAAAGGTAACCCACAGAAACAAGTGCCAGATATACGCGCCTATCCCCAGCAACAGAACGATGCAGATCCCGATCCCACAAGTCACCTGAAAGCGTTATCGCAGGACGATGTGCATGCCCAGTACTTTTTCGATCAGCAAGCCCTCAAATTCTTTGCAGATCAGTGTCGCTTGCTGAAAATCGAGTAAGTTCTAATATATCAGATTTTATTTGAAATATGCTCTTACCTCTGTTTTTTTTTTTAGTAAGGTGGTCTGTATGGGCGCGCCACGCCTCCACTTTCATCTGCGTATCCATAAAATACAAAGTTTTTTGCTTGACTTTGATGAGCGTTTTAGTAAATACCTAAGCCCTCAGGAATTCTGTCTATACAACATGTGCAACAATCACTTTTTCTACCAGCGAGAGCCGTTTGAGAGATTCCTGAAATGCAATAAGTATTTATTTAATGGAATTAAGAGTTAGAAATAGAATGCTAATTCCCTTAGCATTTTAGGGATGAACGCGTGTTAATTGTCACGGATCCACCATTTGGCTGTAGAACCGAACTAATTGCCCACACGCTACGATCTCTGATGCGTCTCCATAATCGCCTCAATCAGCTGCCCGCCACGCCGCTGTCGATATTTTGGGTGTATCCATACTACATGGCAAACTATATAAGGCAGGATATGCCCGAGCTGCAAATGTGCGACTATAAGCTAAATTATACGAATCATAGTCGATATACGAATGTGGGCAACTCCAAGCGTTCCTATGGGTCGCCAGTGCGTGTCTTTACCAATATACCGCTTGAGCTGTTGCGCCTGCCGCTTGCCGAAGGATACAAATATTGTGATAGATGTCAACGTGACACGGCCATAGAGAATGTGCACTGCGATCGCTGCCGGAATTGCTGCTCGCAGAATGGCCAAACCTATCGGCACTGTCAGCTCTGCGATATGTGTGTGAAACCGAATTATGTCCACTGCTCGAACTGTCGCCGGTGCTGTCAACGTGTTGGACACGACTGTGCACTGTATCAGTCCATGCAGCACTGCTGGTTATGTGGCCAACGGGGCCACATTGAGAGTAACTGCCAAATCTGGTCGAAGCTCTCACGCCAGAGCAAACGACGGCAGTCTCAGCGGGATTGTTGCCTTATTTGTGGAGCGCAGAGTCATCGTGAAAGGAACTGCTCACGGCGCTGCAGTTACTTCAAGGAATTCGAATTTATGGGACAAATTTTGACAAAAGCACGAGATCGAAAGTCGATATTAAAACGAAATAAAGCCAAAATGCGCAAACTTCCTAAATCATAGAAAAATATCGCTTCTTATTTTTTCTTGTTTAATACCAAATTCATTTGATCTTAACACTTTTTTGTAATTAAACTATTGAACTGCGTCAATGACAAAAGCGCGAGAGTAATGCACATGAACATGACCACCATAAATTGTGGAATGGATAATCTGCTACAAATTCCAAATTCAACGAAATTTGCAGCAAAGTAAATAGAAAATTTTGACAAATTATGTTTACAATTTAGTAGTTCATCAATTAACGACGGGTAACTTAAGCTTAGACAATAATTAATTTCAAGTGGAAAACACTAATGCCTCAACCAACGGAATGCGACTGTTTGATTGTTGTTTTTGTTGTTGATGTTAATGTTTTGGCAACAGTTTGCTTGAAATCTGATGACGTCGACAATTGGGTCGCGGCGCGCGTCCGTTGAGGTGAAAGTATTTATTTTCTAAAATGAACTGTCTAAGAACGGTTGTATTTTCCCCAAATGTGCAGCATGAAGACAGAGGCGATGAACAGCAACGACATAACCAGAACTGGAACTGGACCACTGTAAAAAAAAACACAAGGGAATGCATCAAGTAAACAATTCGGTATTGGTGAACGTCATGAATTTAGTTGAGGAGCAGTTTCGCTTACACTTTAATGCCGGGTGAATCGTCTGTGTAGAAACGCCACATACCACCAGTGCCTGCTCCGCCAGGAGCACGACTTCTGGCCGCTGTTGTTGTTGTTGTCTTTCGCTGCTTCAAGGTGCTACCACCACCAGCACCAGCGCTACGTGGCGCCGACAATTTGCTGGGCGAGCGTGAACCGCTACCAACGGACGTCGAACTTGCAGGAGCAGGCTATAACAATCGACACCAGCTGTTTAGTATTTACTTTAAGATTTAATTACAGTTTTCACTTACCATTCTAATTTATGTGTTTAATTGTAATTAAAGGCAAATGCACACTAAGTCCGTGATTGCTGCGTGCTGACCTGGAAAAGTGTTGAAAGCGCTGAAATCAGTTTGACGTCTGCTCGTGTCAGTTTCGTGTTCCACGTCACCTGGCATTCACCCGTAAACGTAACTTTGACAGCAAATACTCGATAAGTTTTCACAAAATTTCGATTACAATGAATATCAAAACAATTTTATGGCGGCTTTTCCAGGTAAATCAATTTACCGAGTACAGACAGCGCCAGCTAATTGCTAGCTGTGATGACATATGCTATCGATACTATTAATCACAACTATCTTACTTTTATCTGTTGAAATGTTGTACAAGAAGCTAGAGCAGACATATTATTTTACTTTTATTTCCTTTGGTGATGTTAATATAAGATATGATTTTATTGATTTATAAAATATAAGTAAAGTATTATAGAATATTTAAGTTTCAAATTCTAATTGTATATATGTTGGCTGCGCAATAATTTAAAATATAAATATAGTTGAAAGAGATACAGTCTTTAATGTTGATTCGGTTGGAATTCAAATGCTCCAGTACAGCATGAGTTTATGAATCTGCTATTTATTTAATAAATACGTATTTAATAAATTATTATCATATAATTAGCATAGAACCCTGTGTATAATAATTATAATAAATAAATATTTAAAATTATTGATTCTTTACCAGTTGATTTTCATCGCATTGTCTTTTTATCGATTAGGTATCGATATCAATAGAAGCATACACATACTCTTTTTTGTACATCTCTAAGTAGTTTTTGTAATGGTAAAACAATATTAATTTTAATATTTAGCGCTGTGTGTTTGTAATATCTTACTGGTTTGCACGAACGGCGTGACATTTTGCTGCATCGTTGCTATGGTGCGCAAATGTACACCACAATCCGATAGTGACAAACATATTCTTGAAGAGTAAATGCAATCGCTACATCGCAAAAGCAAAGAAAAAAAAAATAAATAAAGAGAAAGAAAAAAACCAAATATATGCTGAGAAAATAGTTTTGTGAAAATGGACGATATAGAAATAGAATATCTAGACGAATACAAAGACTTAGTTCTACCAGGTGAGTGTAATATTTGAGAATATGCTGCCCTATCTACGACTCGCTGAAATACGTTTTGTTTGTCAGGCATCAAAACAACCAGCGAAGGACGCATACAGCAAACGTTGATTCGAGCGCCTATCAACAGACGTATATCGTCCGATTCGAGCGATTCATCGTCCATAGATCCAGATATTTTTCAGAAACTATTTGATGGTAAATTTCTTGACGACGAGTTAATAACTGAAAGTAAGAGTCTCATATGAAAGCCAATAAAGTTAATTTCTGCTAAGTTGCTGCTTGTGTATTTAGGCGGTCCAAATGCGAAGGGTAGTCCTCGGCGTCGGGTGAGCTCTTCATCGAGCGACTGTAGCGATGCTCTGGCTGCATTGTACAATCGACAAAGCAGCAAAGGCAAAGGCACAAGACGTGATCGGCTCGATTCATATGATTCAATTGATGATTTGGGTAAGTGATTTTTTTTGTAAGTAATAGAGAACACTCGTTTAAAACTTGTTTTCTTAATTAGGTGATGCATTAATGGGCCCAACCCACAAATCGCTATCAAAATCAACATCGTCGCAGGCAGCAGCAAGAAAGACTCTAAGTCATAACGGCATGGACAGGTCCAAAATTACAAATAATAAGTCCCAATTATCTGCAACAAAGCGCAATAATCCAGAAAGCTTTAAGCATGAAATGAGGCCTAATGACAGAAGCAGCAGCAGTAGCTCTTCAAACCCGCCCATGGTGCACAAAAAGAAAGCTGTAACCATTATAAAAGCTAAGAAACCAGACTTGAAACCACCCAAACACGAACCCAAAGAGGATCCTCTAAGTAGGTATTTTATAATTACAGTCTGGCTTTTGGACTAACTGTGTGTAAATTGCAGATTTGCGAGAATTCTCTGACAATACAGACAGTGATTCATCTTATGAATACGAATCCGATTTCTATGGCTATGGCGATWCAGATGATGATGATGGCGAGGTATCGAAGCAAGTTATTGATATATCAACGGATAGCAGTACGGTGACATCATTGGCGGGTAAGTCGGAGTTACACAACTAGTTGATACTGCCAACCCTCTGATTATATTTATAATGTGCGTAAAACAAACCGTGTAGACACTGTGACACCTGTTGTTTCCGAAGACGAGAGCCTGAAGCAGCAGAAGCAACAAACACCAAATGCCCAAAATGACCGTCTTCAGGTGTATCTAAATAATCTAAGTAGTGCCGAAACGCCACCATCTAAGCATAAATATACAAGCACTGCAAAGAAATCGCACTCCCACGAGAAACAGTCCAATACACTAGCACAAAAAGATCAAGATCCGGATCAAATTGATCAGGTGCAGGAAAAGGGTAAGTTTTTTCTAATTCTTTATATTATTTGTTTGCATATTTCATATGTTTCACTTATTTCGCTTCAATTTTTACAGCCGAGAAGCAACTTGACAGTCCCTCAAGCAGTAAAGCTCAAGCGAACTACTGCAATGAGATGGACAATGTATCTCCAGCTGATTATGTTGATGTTAACTTAACCTACGAAACAGTAGAACGTTTAAGTCTCAATCTTGCCGAGGAAATCATTAGTATTGATGCTGAGCGCTCCAAGGAGTTCGAACGTCGTTCTGTTTCCAAGACGCGCAGCTTATCTTCTTCAAAGAAAGTGACTCAGCCAACAGTTAGGTCGTCGCTCTCCAAAAGCCATATACGCAAACTTACCTACTCTAACGAAAAGTTGGATGAGAAATATCCGTTAATGCACACACTTCGTCGGGTCAAAAGTTGTGGTGGCTTCCCGAAACGTGATCTGGAAAGACAACCAAAGAACAGGGCTGCAACCACAGAGAGACAACTCACGAATGAACCATCATCGTCACCGAAAAATCTTGTGGAAGCACCTAAAGAGCAAGAGCCAAAAGTAGAAAATGAAACGAAACCCCAACAGGAGAAGGTAGTAAAACGTGGGCGTGGTCGACCGAAAAAGAACAAAGCGGAGCCAGCTAAGCCTAATCTGTCACAAAATCCCAATCTAACTGTCAGTGTAGAGAAAAAAGTAAACTCTGGGTGCACGATCTCTGAATCAAAGTCTTCGAACGAGACTTTGAAGGAAGCGCAGCACGAGTTGAAAATAAATGACAAAGCAAAAATCATAGAAACAAATATTGATTCAACTTCTGCTTCAAGCGAAGGCAATAAAATTGAATTTAAAGCTACTCAAATGGTGGCTGATCATGAAAAAGATAACTCAAAACGGACAAGTGCAGGGATGTGTCTGAATATAGACGGTGCGCTAAATAATGCGAAACTGTATGGAAACGAAGGGGAAAAGCAAACTGCAACCTTGAGTAAAGAAGAAGCAAATGAAAGTATAAAAAAGCTGAGTGCTCCGAAAATTAAGGAAATTGATATAGACAATCAAGGAAAAGTAGGCCAAGACTCTCGAGATGACATTGAAATCCCAGATGACAACAAAATAAATTCGGTTGTAGACAAAAAAGATAACGAGCAGGAAACTGATAGACCGGATGATGACAAAATGGAAAAAGTTGATAAAGACGCAACTGAAATAATGAATCCTGAGGCATATAGTGAGAAAAGTGATAAGGAAGTGACCGCAGATGACGTTGATAAACAACTAAGGTCAAATTCAAACGTGGATTTAGTCAAGAAGAAACGTCGCTCGGAAAACACATCGAGAAGAAGCGAAAGTCGTAATGCCAGACGATCGCGTAGAAGTGATGCTGATTCCTCTGGAACTGCCGCACCTGCACCACGGCGCAGTAGTCCTCGGGTGACAGAAAAGTCACCAGCTGGAGGAACTCAAAAGGCTGATAAAGAAAAATCTAAATCTCATTCAAGCGCTAAACCCCCAAAAATATCCAAAGATATTAATATTGTGGACCCAAGTTCAGAAAACTTAAGTCATAAAAAGTCTGCGAAGGTCAGACCGTCACACAGCTCCAAATCAACAACAGCTAAAGCTAAAGACAATTCCACAACGCATAGGAAATCGCGGAGTGCAAAGTCTAAGCCTAAAATCGAAATCTCGCCACCCAGGCAGATGGAGACTATCGAATCAAATTTGGCCGCAATGATGGAATCTGTATCACTTCCATCCGATGGTGATTCGAATGAAGCAAAGACAATTGATATTAAACAGAATTCAGAAAAAGATATTGATACTCCCACATCTTCAGATACTCACATTAGAATAGATGGTAAGACTATAGAATCCTCAAGGGAGGCAGCATTAACTCAAACATTGTCCGATCTCGAGCTACTTACAACATTGGATTTAAATGAGAATTCAACTTATAGCGAGCAGCAACCAAATATTCCAGATACCCCTTCAATTCCATCCATTAATACTACTGAAGATCAAAATGATTTATACAAATCTCTTGATTTGGATATTGTAGTCAATAAGCAGGAAAACTTGTGCGAGGAGTCGGTCGTAGCTAAACAGCGTGCTGCAGTACCTCGTGGATTAAGAGATCTCCTGCAGGCAGCAGGAACTGAAAGACAACACGAGAGAGCAGGAAGTCGTGCCCGATCCACGCGCTCCAGGGTGGGTACGCCCATTCCTCCAAAGTCGAGAAAGACTAGGATTAAGGAAACTAAATCATCTGAGACTCCAAAGAAAGAGCAGACTAATGACAAACCAGAAACGAAATCGGATAACACTGCAACCTGCAGCGAATTGCCTATAGAGAAGCAAGAGAATGAGATTCCCAACTTAAATATAAGTGAAACCAGTCAAAACATTAATGATGATGCAGTTGAGAAAGCCGTTGCTACGGATCAATCAGAACATCCAACTGTATGCAATGATATTCGATATGCAATTGAAAAAGGTAATCAGGCTTGTGATCAGAGTACACCCAGCACTTGCTCCTCGAACAGTTCATGTCGTAAGCTTCGCATTCTAATTAAGAAACCAGTGCCACGCTCTAAAATCAATTTTGGCCAACTTGAAAATGTTGAGCATGCAGACGATGAGTTGGAAGATCCCACATATCCATCAGATCAATCAGTTTGCCATGATGTAGGAGATAAAGCGACCGAGAGAGAGCCATTGAAGAGCCTACCAGAAAAAATCACTGGAGAGGATCAACTAAATCTCAATGATCAAGCAGAAAACTCAACACAGATTACAGTAGATCAGCAAAAAGATCCAGCTGCAGCCGATACCAAAATTAGTGAAGAGGACTCAGTTCCAAGGGATGCTAAGGATAAGCTAACTGACCAGGAGGCGGCTAGCATGAAGCAGCAGCACAATGAGAAGGATGACGCTGTTGAGGGGGAGAAGATAGTTGCTGAAGAGCGTCAACTTGATATGGCGATATCACAACAACCAGAGCAAGAGGCGTCTTCTCAGCTGGCGACTCCCAACGAACAGCAGCATCAGCCATCGGAGCAGACAGCTTCTGAACCCATGGAACAATCAGCGGATGAGCAGCAACAGGCTACAGTTAACATTGATCAATTATGCGCAACGGAAACAACAGGTGTCATGGAGCATGTCGATGAGGAGGAGTGTACCGATACTGGGAGCTCCAATCAGATGGATGCCTCTGAACCAGATGGTTAATAGCTATTCCAATAATATAAACTTTAAACTTTTCCCATTTCATTTTGTAGCTCGATCTCTAATGTTCAATTTTCGTTTTTCTTCTAATCTCTTGTTTTTTTTTCATCAGCCGCTAAGCGCAAACAAATGTTGCAAGCGAAACATGCGAGTCGCAGCATTGCGATGGCGCCACCAGCACTACCCAAATCCGACCTATCTAGTGGTAATGGGGGTAAGTATCTTGTATATATATAATAATATCAAAATTAATAAAACTAATCCTTTCACAGTAGTACGACGTCTAGGAAGGCCCATCAAAGTGGGTGATCAGCCCAAGCAAAAGCGTCGAAAATTGGCAGTAATGCAGAGTTCTTTGGAGGACAATAGTAAAAGTCAATTAGACACACAGGAATCGCTCTCTTCGACAAATGAGGCTATGGAGGAGCCAGGAGGCAAGGCCAGCGGCAAGCATATGTTAGCTGTCAACATGAGATCCCCGATTAAACCATCCACACCAGGAGTCAGCCATTTGGGAAAAACGTTAACAGCGACAAAGCTGAGCAAAAACGATGAAGTGAACAAGACGCCGCCAATTAAATCTAGTTTATCAACATTATTGAGCGACGATGACTCCATGTCCATCAATAACACAGTAATAATAACGAAAACGGCAATAACAAATACGACGGAACCGTTCAAAAAGGTGGAAACGCCAGCATCTCCTGCTGTTGGCATCAACATATCCGTTTCATTGCTGCCTGATCCTAACAGTCAGACGAGTTCGCCGCCCAAGAAGACAATGACTCAGGCCGAGACGGCAAAGAAGCTGATGTCGCTTAGTGCGGCAGCCAAGAAGGAGGAATCATCTCCAATAGCAAAACAATCTGTAGCCTCACCTATCACACCAAATTTGCCTGTGCAGTCTGCTGAGGCTGGCAAAAAGATGAAAGCCCGTAAATCGGAAACAGATAAGCGAACTCCAAAAACACCTTTATCTCGAATAGCAGGCAAAGCAACTTCCAGCGCAGCCAAGAAGAGTCCAAAGCCAACAGAAGAAGCAAGTGAAATGGCGAAAGCTAAAGAGCCAACAAAACCAGCTGCGATTGTTAGTCCAATAGTTAACAGAAAATCCTTACCACAAACCCATGCGAAAAAGCTGGACACACACACTAACGAAATATCTGCAGCTCCGGTAGAAGCAGCAGGCACCAGCGAGAGCAACGAGGCGAGCGAATCTGTAGCTGCCGAAGAATTAGTCGAAGCTCAGGACACGCAGAAAAAGGATTCGCGAAAGTCTACGGGYCAGAAATCGCTTAGAAAATCCAAATCCAAATCCAAGGAAGTACTAGCGGTGGCAGAGGCAAGAGAACCAGCATCATCAGAATCTATGCCATTGGCAACAAAAGGCCCGTCGGAATCGCGGGATTCGTCGACTGAGCGTAAGAAGCGCACGTCGCGCGTGACAAAACAGACGAAAACTGTGACTCCGATGACACGCGCCTGCAGCCATGCCCGCTCTTTGGCTGCCACGCCCACACCGTCAACACAACGCAATCCCTCCAACGAGCGACAGCCACTCACAATGCCCCCACTCGTCCCACTGGCCTCAAAGCCACAACGACAAGCGCGCAAGAGTCTAAAACAGACCAAAGCCGAGGCGCAGGCGCAGAGTCGGGGTCAGGCTGAGTGCTCTGAGGCGGCGAAAGTTACACAGTCGCGGAAGCGCAAGCCTCCGGCCAAGTCTCTCGCAGGCGGAGCGAAACGCTTAAAGGAACAGCCAGCGATGTCAGAGACAGCAGTTGCGTTCCCAGTGCGTATCACAGCGGCTGCCCTTACTGCTAGTCGGACATCAATTGCCGAGCCAATGGCAACTGTTGAACGACAAGCAGTACGGCCACTACCGCCTCTAGTACCAATAATGCCGGTAAAGCTAGTGCAGAAGGACAAGGATTTGCAGCTTCCGCCTCAGCCCTTGCCGCCAAAGCTGCGCAAGTTGCGAGTGCGTCTCAATCGATCCGTGATACCCAATTGGCTCAAGAGCCTGAAGCAAGCAGAGCAAGCCGCCCAGCGCTTGGAGCCTGCGACAGCTGCAGCGCCGCCTAGTGCCACAACTGCAACAACAAGTGCAGCTCCAAAGCAAGCAGAGCCTCTCATCAGCAAATCCCAGCCGGCTGCGCGTAGGCCACAAGTGAAAATACCAATTATCAACTCTGTGCCGCTTCCAGTGCCTCTTCCAGTGCTGGAAGTGAAGCCGGAGCTGCCCGAAATGGAGGAGGAACCACAATCCATCAACAGTGCAGCCGCAGCACCAGCGCTGCACTTGGAAATTGATGTTCCAGTGCCATCCATAGCTCAAGTTGCGGCAAGTATGTCAAGCAGCCAGACCCCCACCAGAGTGGAGCCAGCAGCGATGGCGCAGCCGGGAATGAATATGGCTAGCAGTGCGAGCAACACTATCAGCAGTCATGCCAACACCGCCATCGCACTCGCCCCTGCCCCTGCCCCTACCCCTGCCCACGCCCCCGCCCCCGCTAACACCAGCGGCACCAGCAGTACCACCAGCTCAATACCTCCAGCGAATGTCATCAGCGATCAGAATACGTTCGGCACAACGAAAATGTTTTCGTTTTTGTATCCATCACGCTATCAGCGCTCCTACAGCCAAGTTGGACTGGACTTTTGTTGCCCGAACCTGGACGGGCCGATGCAGGCCATTGATCCGACGCGGCTGCACTCGAAAGCGGAGGTGCCGGTGCTAGAGTTGCCCCAGTATATGGTCATATCGACAAAGATTATCTCGCGGCAGGACAAGAACATACCGCCAAAGGTGCGCGCCAAGCTGGAGCAGCTGGCGGCGGCGAGGGATGCCGCAACCACCAGTGCCATACCAACGGTGTTGCCAGCGGCGACAGCTGCCGTGGCCACGCCCCCAGTGCCAGCAGTGGCGAGCAGTGCGCCGCCAACCATGAGCCATGGAGAGACGGTTGCCCAGCAGCTACCTCCACAGAATACAACTTTGGCCAAGAATCCGCCGCCGGCAAATGCTACACCTCCTGCTGCTAATGCAGCTGCATCACCGAAGATACTTTCCTCGCCTCCGCCCTTAACTGCAATCAGATCAGCGAAGAAATCATTACCATCAAGGGGCATGCTGCAGTTGCCGCCGATTTGTCCCACTGACAAGATGCGCACGGATCTGCAATCTCGTGTGCAGCTCTTCGATCATGTGCTGCAGGGCCTATCCCGACGAGCTGCAGTGATGAGTGTATTGGAACGGAAACAGGTCATCGAGAATATTGTGAAGACGAGCGCGCTGCTGCCGGTTGATGTGGAGATGGCCATCAAACTGTTGGAGAGCTATTCATATTGCTTGTATGCAGTCAACAGCGCCAATGCTAGGAATCTCGAACAACGTCAGCAGCAGCAGCAATCGCCAGCAGCAGCCAGCACATCCAACTCCAGAGCGGCAGGTGCTGCTGCTGCAGCTCCTGCTGGCTCTCCTGCTCTTACTGCTAGTTCACCGCTGGGAGCCTCGAGCAGCACGCCTGTTTACGATGCAAGTAATAAGATTATTGGCTATCAGTATAAAACTCCAAATATGTCCATGAAGTCATCACGCGGCACATTCGTCAAAGTGACACCATCCTCAACAGCAGCTGGATCAGGAGCATCATCACCCGCAGCAGGAGCAGCAACACAGCAACGTGGACGTCCAAGTGCAGCCAGCGGCAAGGTGAGCCGAAGTTCTCTAAATAATCCTTGTATATAACACTAATATCCAATAATCCAATTACAGGTAGCAAGCGTCAACTTGGTGTCACCTACAGTAGTGCCTACGCGCGTGGCAAAGAGAGTAGGGTCCGGTACCATGATTCCCTTTAATCCATCGCCAGCGCAAAAGACCTATGCAGGGCGTTCCACGGCGGCGTCAGCCAGAAAAGCTGTCGGCACAGCGGACAAAGCGGCGCCCGTGGGCATCGTCAATGGAATGCCCCAGCTGGGAGCGGTGCCACAGGCAGCGTTAGCCGAGGACAACATAAATCGTACTAATCTGTTTATTGTAAATCAGTTGATGTCGCAGCAGGAGGAGTGCATATTGCCCGATGCAATTGGTACAGTAGAAACTGCTGCTGCCGACATCAAGGGTGAGCTTGAAGATGCAGAAACATTAACTTAATTCATACAAATATATTAAGAAAATGCGTAATTATAAATACACCTAAAGTATGAAAAGTATTTTAAGCTACTTTACCAAAAGTAAGATGATGAAGCCCATATTTAGAATACAAATCAACATATGTAAAACATTAATTTCGGGCTGCAAAAGGCTTGTTAAATTTCCACCTTTGCCTATACTGCTAGTTTTTTAAAAAATAATAAAAAAAAATCGCTAAGTGAGCGCATATGTTAACAATTTTCGCAGCTATCATTGTATCAGCATCGAGTGAAAAAGCGTTTGTTTACTAGCAACAAATTGGCAGCACCCAAATTTAATTATTCAAAATTGTTTAGTTCAGTGAACTCGCATTAACTTATGTTTGTTTTTTTTTTTTTTTCATTTATTGTGATCTGCAAAGTTCATAAACTTCCAAAAACTCCAAATGAATTATTAGTTCACATTTACCAGGGCAACATGAATTTCAATTACAAGGGCTGCAAAAAACAAACAAACAATTGAATTTAATTTAAATAGTTTTTCAATTAATTACTTATACCAAATTATTTTTGTGAAAAATAAAATAAAAATTAGTCTTTATTATTTGTATAAAGTTCTACTTACAAAAATGGAATAAATCAAATAGCAAAATCTTTTAATCAACGAACTGACGTCACACACAACGCTATGATAATGTTCTTGCGCTCAGAGAGCGCCAAAGTAACGGAACTGCGCAGTGAGTCACCTTGTTAGTGTATGGGTACATGCCGTTCGGCATTCTTATAAGAGAAGAGAACAGACGAGCACAACAACAGTTTTCGTTTGCCGGCTGTTTGCAACGAACGCATTCCTAATAAGCGGTTGCCGCATCACTTTCACACTTGTCCGCGCTCACCTTTTTTGATTGTTTCGCGTTTGTCGTGTGGGCGCGCGCCGCCGAGCAATAAAAATAATAAATAAATAAAATAGGGAATATTGTGATTAGGAGACGTTTAAGGAGTGTGTTGCGTGGGGCTTGCTGCGTGCTGCGTGGTGTGTGGCCAAACAATTAATACAAATATTAATTAATTGATGTGAGGAGATGGCCGTCGAAATCACAAACACAATATTATCGCTACAGCCGGCCGTTGAGGCTGAACCGTTGGCGCCGCAATCGTTCCACTGGCAGCTCGAGGATTACGCATACTTTCACAAGTGCGGAGAGATAACCACATCGCCGGACGTACAATGTTTCGGTTTCAATTGCGCCTTCTGCCCGGCCATTTGTCTACAATTTTCGGTTTTCATAGATCACATACGCGGCCATCACATGCAGGAACTGCGCCGGCGCTACGAGGGCGCCGATGTGAAAATTGAACAAACAACGCAAACCGATTTCAATCTAATGATAATGGATATGCATCTCGAAGGTGCGCCAACAATAACAGGAACAGCAGCAGTGGCAGCAGCAACACCAACAACAACAACAGTGCTCAATGCAACACCTACTCCAGTGGCCCCAACAAAACGCACAAAGAACCCGCCCAATTGGAATGAGGCGCAGGCTTCAATGGGGCTGCCAGACATGGACATGGGCCTAGACCTCGCTAACGTTGTACAAACATCGGCGCTGCCAAAGACGAGCAACAACAATGCTGCGCTATTGCAACTAAACAGCACGGCAACAGCAGCAACAACAACTGCACTAGCAACAACAACAACAACAACAGCAGCAGCAACACCTGACGAAATGGACTTCGTTTATGTTATGGAAAATCCATTGCCACCCTCGCCTCCGCCATCGGCTGACATTTCGCGCTGCGAGCAGAACGCGCGACTGCACTCGATAGATCCATTTGAAATATTGCATGAGGTCTGTTCTTCAGCAGTCGCGCACACACACACACACACCCATACCAATACCCAGGCACAGCCACACACACAGGCACTAGCGCAGACACCAGCACAGGCACATGCACAGGCACACGCGCATGCACATGCAAACACACACACCCACACACATACACAAGCGAACAGCAAGACGAATACATACGAGGCGGCGGAGTCCAGTGGCGCTGTCAGTGTGGTCGCCCATCCCCGTTATGAGACACGGCGCGTGGTAAGTTAATCGTTGATTCTTGTTCGCACACAGCGCCCGCCTCCCCCTTTATTCAGCCCGCTCTATTCCCTGGCCATGCGGTCATTTGGCTGCCGTTGTTTTCCTTGTTGTTGTGAAAAGAACAACAGCAAAGAAAAGGGGTTTCCGTTGTTCTGGCCCTTAGCAAATAGGTTCGACAGCGGCTGCTCGACCTTCAAAATAACGGCGCATTAGCGGCTGCGGCAACGGCAATGTCAGCAGCAGCAGCAGCCACAAAATACGAAAAACTGTGTCGCATTTATAGCATACCCTATGTCCATGCAACCAATAGGGCATGCACTGTTTAGTAATCACTTGAACTGTGAGCTAGCTTTTTATGTTGATTTTAGTTAGATTTTATGAAATATTAAATTAATTAGCGGTGAATGTGGAAATCTCTTGTATATATAAATATTGATTGATATCTATTTATAAATTTGTATATCATCTCTGCTTATGTAGAGTATATCATAGTCGAGTTCCAGCCAGCCAGAGAATTCAGAAATCAAAAATAGAATTTAGCTATGGAAAGTTTTTTTTTTTCTTGTTGGCATTGAAGATGCCTGCAAACTGTGCATAACAAAGCAGGGTATCTCAGCAGTCGCGTTGCAGTCGTTTGCCATTCATTACATTTTGTTTACGTCCTCGTTTATCCCGATATTCAGCCTTGGGAGCTGTTTCGACCAGGCGTGGCGACAGGGGCGTAGTCAGACGCACTTCATCAGCTTCAGTAGCGAGAGTATTCGCTATTTTTACTCGCGGGCAGCGTGCGACGTGTTTTTTTTTTTTTTCATTTTCACTTGTTTTGGTTTCGTCAAAAAAACTCAGATTTTTTTTGTGGAAATACTATATAATGACGCCAAAAAATGCTACGACAAACGCTAGACAGCAAAAAA